AGCTTTGACAACAAGCTGACATGGTTGATGCTTTGTTCTTTTCCCCAGAGCTGGAGTCGGAGGGAGCCTCCTGCAGGGTTAGGGTGCAGCTCTTGGGCTTCATGGAAGTCTGTGGGCACCAGATCACATACCTGCCCACGCAGGGCCACACTAGGTTTGTTTGGGAATTTATTGAGTATATTAGTTCAAAGATGTTCCTTTTAATCAGAATAAAGTAGAATTCAGAATGTGAACTTGGAGCTATTTTTTGAATATTTTTTATTAGTGATGGCCTCCCCTCCGGTCTCAGCTGCTCAGTTGTTGCTGCTGAGAGCCTGAGGTTGCAGTGGAACCTGCTGGAGCCTGACTTTACTGAATATGGATTTTACTGACTGAAATCACTAAGACTACACAAGTGCACATAAATACCAAGTGCTTATATCCCAAATCCATGTTTATTTTATCTAAAGTATAAATAAAAGACACATCAGAGATTTAAAAAGTACTAATATACTTTTCTTCAAAAAGTGAAATGTTCCCTTTGAGTTCCCCAAAGGTAGCATTATTAAATGGCAAAGAACAGTTATAACTCACATTATGTTTTTTTATATGAACAAGGACAATGCTGTTTTCAATCCAGTTGTTTGGGTTCATACAAGTTTGAAAGAGATTATGTTGTTTGAAAACACAAAGAAGCATTAAAATGATGGTAGCGTCTGTGGCTGGTTTAGGTGTGGGAGTATCTTCAAATTCTTGATCTACTGTTCACTCAACAGCAGTCGGTCAATAGTACATTTTCGTTTGGTGAAAGATGGCTAGTGTTTTCTATTTAATACCAATGTTACCGGGCTCCACAGCCTTGAAATGAGCTTCATGTAGAACAGGCATCCATTTTTAGTTTGCGATATTAAGTGGTGGCTATTTTATTGAAACTAGGGTCTGATCACTGGAAAATCATTGCTTGGTGATATGTGATTTGGGGCTTGGTTTATTTCTTTAGGGATGTTTGTATATTTTGTTGGTACATGTAATTCTGCGCTTGCCCTCATGGCAACGTCATGGTTCTATGTAAATGCCCTCCAGGTGTCCCTCTCACGTTGCATGTTTTCAGTGGTTTGGAAGTTTTGTATATTTATTGTATTAATGCAGTGTCATAAAATAAAATAATGTTTACTGGATGCTTATTTGTATAATTTTAAACACTGTATTAGCAGCTGAGAGGCAGAAAATATACTCGTAGCTTTAATATAGATTATATTTCATATTTGAATTTTGAAACCAACCTTTGTATCATTTTATCACATGCTAAACACAGTATAAAAGATTTAGATTAAAACCCTCAGCAACACAATCTGATGGTTTTCCCATGGCATTAGACCTTTCTAGGTGGTTGAATGTGAGCTTTTCCACATTAAATATGATGACTGTTTTGAGGTAGGCCAGGTTACCTGAAGTGTATTAGATGTGGCCTAGGGCTTTCTTCATGGGTTCAGATGGGTGCCTCTGTACCAAGGTGGTACTGCCTTACCCACTGTGTGGCGTGTCCTGCCCATGCTTACTCTGCTGGCTTATGCACTGATGAATATCCTATTTTGTGTACCTGGATTTCTCCCTTGGTAACTAAAGATAAGGTAAAGTTTAAACTAAAGTCATGTTCACAGCAGATCTTAATTTGAGAATAACATGTTGAATTAAAGTAAGAAACAGTAGTTTCCATTTTTCATCTTGGATTTTCACACTGAAAACATTCTGTAATCTGTGTGGTGCTGGTCTGCACTAAGGGGATTCGAGCTTTTAGTTCCTGTGGGGGCCTGTGGCCTTGTTCTCCACCCACTGCGCCTCTTCTTTTTTGTCTGATTCTCTGTCTTCTTAGTCACATTCATGCTTCTATTACACAGTTTATCATTTGGGACACACGTTTGCTGGGTTCTCTTACACTTTGCGTTAAGGAAAAGTCCTTAAAGGGACCTATGATTCCGTATGTGTCTGAATAAGAGACGAATAAGCGTGATGCCGTGAGAAGAAGCCCTTTAGAGACGAGGGGGTGGTTAATTTAAAATAACTGATGGCTAAAGTCCAGATTCTTCATAGACTTTTCAAGCTTGATATTATAAAGTTGTAGTAGAATAACACATCTTAAAATATTTGAGATGTTTTAGATTTTTTTTTCTAATTTTTAGGTTAGCACATAAATGTTTTATTATTACTGTTTTACCAATATTCTTTACTATACTAGTAAGTTGAACTTCCATGATTAAGAAAATGAAATAGTTCTGTAAGAAGTTTTGGGTACAGTTTACAAAACAATATGCATGTTGAATTGGTGAGTTTTTAAAACCATATTTCAGACTCTTTCACAGACCTCCAGGAGCCAGTCTTCTGTGAAAGCACCCTATGCGACGCATCACTGCTGACTGCTTACTGCCAGGATAGGCACACTTTACTAATTCAAAAGACTCCTGGAAAATAGGGAGGGACTGGCTGGTCCCCCCCCCCCCCCCGTGGGTTTTGTATTTACCACTCAGCTTTGTGGTGTAAAGAACGAAGCCTCCACATGCAGAATTTTCCCTAGTGGTTGATGTTTTCAGATGGGAACATGAGGGCCGCAAGGGTCAGCATAGGGAGTGAACCATTTGTGTTCCTCCCTGTTCTGCTTTCCTCTTTAGCTTGGTATTTCTGGGCTTAACATGACTTCATTAGATAGTAAACCATTCCTCATGCTAAATCCTTTGTGTTTGGAGAAAGTGGAGAACACATCTTAAGTATTGGGTGACTCACGCTCATGTGATCCTAACAGCTGCTTTCCCTGGGTCTGGGATAATCCGTGACGTAGGTTCCCATCACTGAGAGACGGGATGCCGTCCTAGCCCACTGTTTGTTTTGCCACTGTCATGGATCTGATGAATTGCTGTCAGTTTTCAGGACTGAGCTGAACTATGATCAGTTAAGTTAAACTATAAAGTGTTACCTTTAAGTGTGAAAGTTTGCTAGGTTCCTGGGAGGGAGCACAGGCGATCCTTGTGGAGATGTGGCTGGTGCCACTTGTATCTGCCACAGCGAGGCAGTATCCTTTCCCACGTTCCTTCCATCAGGAAGGAAGTGCTGCGTAGCCATTGGGTTTCAAACCTGTACTTGATCCTTGGTTTTGCTACGTCCTAGCTGTCTAACTGCGGCAGAGTAGTGCACTGAAGTTACATCAAGGGCAGGCATGGATCTATACAAAGGTTTCCACCTCATAGGCTATGATGCGCTGACCACAGAATGCGCACAGCAGTCAACACCGTCTCTCCTCTCTCCATGTGTACTTGTGATTCCCGGGTGCTGCCTCTGACCTCCACTGCTGCTGCGTACAAGTGGCCTCCATGGCAGCCTCTGTCCTGACTCTTCTGGCTTTTCCATCTCGGCAGATCCTTCCTATCCAGAGGCCACACTAAATGCCTGCAATTATCCTAGACTCCACTCTAGCCCCTCTGGCTTCTCGTTGGTCCCCTGGCTGGCCACTCTTTCCTTTTATGTCCTGAATTCATCCCAGTGTCTTTCCTCTCGCTGCTCTAATTTGGGATTTCTGTAAGAAATGAGCAAACTGGAGGTTTCTTCCAAATACTGGCACTTCAGAGGTTGCTTGCCTATAGATGTTGGATCTTTTAGAATGTTTGACTATAAAAAGCCAAAAGCTGCTAATGGCTGCATGTTATTTGATTGAGTCTTCTTTTCCCGTGGTTTGAATTTTCTTCCTTCCTCTACTTATGCTTTTATCTGTATCCTGTCTACCTAAGCAAAATGAGCAGTAACTGCCTTGAAGAGCTCCTAGAGTGTCATTTTTGCTGCAGTGCCCGTATCATTCCTGCTGAGTGTCCCAAAGGAGCTGAGTTGTTTAAAGGAATGTCCACATACAAGAATGTCCAGGGCAATGAAGACTTTATGGGGCCCTAACGGAAGAAGTTGAGTATGGCTTCCAGGAGATCTCATGGCAAAATTTTCCTGTAAAAACTGAAAATTGGGGCTGGTGAGGTGGCTCAGTGGCTAAGGGTGCTTGTGTGTAAGCAAGGAAGACCTATATTTGAATCACTAATTGGGCACAGCTGCATGGGCCTTTAACCTGTGTTAGGGGACAGAGTCAGAACTTGGGAGCTCCTACCCAGCCAGCCTACTGCAAACAAATAAATATGCAAATACACTGGAGTGTTAGCAGAAGACACCTGCTGCCCTTCTCTGGCCTCGCATTTGACCACATTAGCCACCCTGCCCCCACCCACGCACAGACTGAGGATGGCAAGCACGTGGGGCCACATCCCAGCCTTTGCTCAGACTGAAGTCCTGGGGCTCTCTCTGGATTCACTGTTGAGAATACTTTTTGTAGTAATGCCTGCAAAGGCAACAGAAAGGTTCCATGGTTTTTTTTTTTTTTGTTTGTTTGTTTGTTTGTTTGTTTTTAATTATGGAGATGAGTTGTTTCAGTGACTGGGTACTAACTTTTAACTTTGATTTCAATTAGAAACCTGGTCATTTATGCTCAGAAACCAAAGCCTGTGTGTACCTTCCGTCCATCAGAACTAGAGCAAGTTAGAGTGGTTGCCACTCCTGTCTATTAAGACAGTTTATGTCCCTGGGAATGTGCAGACCTGAGTTTATGGGACAGTACTCGGCATCATCTTTGAGATTATACATGAAATGGGTGTCCTGACTTTCTGGACAGGATCCTCTCCAGACACTGTGAATGCAGAAGGCTTCTGAGTATTTTTTTGAGAGGAAAGGAGTACATACCTTTTGGTTAGCCAATGAAAGCACTTTCATGTCTCACAGCTTTACTTTAAAATTAAGATGCTTATAATTGTGTTGATACTTCTCCAAAGAAGAAATACCTTATCCGCAAATTAAAGACGATTTATAGTAGGGATAAGAATTGACAGTAAAAAATGCTTTAATATTTTTTCTATTGTCAATACTATAGTAATTTTAAAATTTTGTGTTTTTGATCAAATAATGTATACTGTACTGAAGCCAACGCAGTCAGACTTGAAACATTTGCAAAATCAGATTTAATTCAGATCTCAAGAGGGGAAGAGACCACATTGCAAAAATCCTTATGTACAGATCCTAACCAATGAAAGACAAACAATGTATTAGTTTACAATGTAATAGGATAGTGACACATCTGAAGGCTCCAACTGAGTCCATCAGCTGTAAATACAATTTTATTTTTGGCTCAAGTGGCTGTTGAATGTCAAGTGGCGCCAAGTCCCTTCCCGCACCGAAGGACCCCTCAGCTCTGGGAGAAGCTTCCCCACAGTCTCAGAAGCCCTCACTCATCCCTTGAATTCTTTTGGCCTTGAGAGTCTTTGCTCCCATAAATACAAATACAGGCCTGGGAGTTCCAGCAGCCACGGTATTGCACAGAATGGTCTGTATTACGCCAGGCTCTCACCGCTAAGAAGATGAGAGACTAGCCTTTAAATACAGTGGTCTAGCATCAGCATGGCCTATAAAAGCACAGAAAAACAGCTCCTTAACTCTATTATCAGCCACTAGTTTTCAGGCTAACAGAAAAGGCAACACACAGCTTCACATTTCACACAGAAGACTAGCATTGACTGGCCTTGCTTGCTGGGTTGACTCTCTCATAAATATACTGATTGTTTTAGCTTAGCCCCAGGAGAAAATTATTTCATACCAGTCTTTTCTTCACATAAGGTTTGTGTAGCATTAAAATTGTTAACAGTCTAATAACTAGCCGTGAAGGCCAAAACAGAAAGATCCCTGTTTTGAATCTTGTCCAGTTTCCCCCAACAAAGCGCACACACACACCTTTGTTATTGCACATCTTTCAGATAACCTGTGTATGTGTCAGATACATACTTACATATGCCCCATTAAAAAGACCAGGGCGCTGTACAGAATACATGCTTAACAAAGACTGTTCATCAGACCACACGCTGCAAAGCTACACCCTCCCACAGCTACTGGAATATTGAATTACCACACAGGTTGAAAGAATCCACAGACTCCTAGTATTCCTTCCCTAGAGTTAAATGAGAAGCTGAGCCCAAATTCAGGCAAAGTAAGACTTTTCCGGTAGTAGTAATGGTCCTGTCACTAGAGAAATGGGTATAGACCAGCTGGGCGTAGTGGCACTTGCTTTTAATCCCAGCACTTGTGGAGGCAGAGGCAGATAGATCTCTGTGAGTTCAAGACCACTCTGGTCTACAAAGCGGGACAGCCAAGGCTAAAACAGAAACTTCTGTCTCAAACCCCTGCCCCCCCCCCCAAAAAAAAAGGGGTATAGGTCAACAAGTGGTTTTTAAAGTACCATGAAAACAGTTTCATTCTACACCAGCACAATTGCAGAAGTCTGTATATTGCCAAAGTCTATATATTGGCTTGAAGGTCTCTGCTAGGAAATGCAACCTCGTTCCATTAAGTCAGCACTTTGGCAGTTTTCAATGGCATGGCATTTTGTTTGTACCCTTCTAGGGAAGGGGGGAGGGGGCTGTTTTCTCTAATGTTTAAATTAATGGAAAATACTGCTGAGTAACAGTCTGGCAGAGGTCACATTTTCATTTTTGAGTGTTACCAGGTTGAAAAGAAGTCCACTGCCACTTTACCCAGAGAGCAGCTGATAGGATGCATGCAGGAGCCGTTTAGCCTAGGACCAGTCTGTGAAAAGTCAGCAAAGTTAGTCTGGTAAATTCAAGGAAAACAAAGTTGTTTTGTCAGTTTTTCTGATAAACAAAACTATGTTTCAAGCCAAATATTGCCCAGGTTGGAAACACAGTTGCTGTGCTCGCAGAGGACTTGGCTAGAACGTGATAAATCCACAGCAGAGGACAAGAGCCTCCTCCACATGCTCTGGGCTATGCACCAGGTGCCCTGTTCCCGTTTCCTGAGCCTTCCTAGGCTTGCTTAGGGGCCTCCCCTTGGAACACAGGTTCAAAACTGAACTTCAGATCTGCTCAGTGCCCTTCTTCTCTAACTTTTATCTGTGTGAGAGAGAAGGTGGTTTCTGATATAGGCCAAAGGGCAAATAAACTGTAATTAAACCCCAGTGGGCATAGTCCATCTATACATAAGGGAGTTGTTCTGAACCAAGGCTTGGTTCTAAACCAACATAGGTTTAAGTGATTCACTGGGACAAGATTGTAAACTCTCAGGGTTGTGTACCTGATTAGCAAGCACTTGCCAGTAGAAGGTGCTATTAACTTTTAAGACAAAGCCCTCAGCTGAGCACATCTCTAAAACCAAAATAGGTCCACTGCTGTGGACCTACATCACGGTGAAGGGTTTCTCCGCCTGCAAGGCTCATATAAGCCAGACTCCGGGGTTTCTGGCTGCTTTGGTCATATGGGTAATTTATGGAAACTGGATTGAAAGCCCTGAGTCCTTGTTAGTAGTGGCATGTGATGGCTTTTGTAAGTATGCTTAGGCAGGTGCAATGAGCTTGGTCCAGCCCCTGCTTCTGCATTAGCTTCTTGTCCTGTGTTCCCCTGGGGATAGGGTTTTTGATGACAGTCTTGCGTGGCAGTGATTCAGTGTCATCCAGTCTGCTCTAAGGATCAGCACCAGAAGCAAGAGAAGCTCCCATGGCTAGCTTCTGCTTTCTCTGCAAAGGGTGTCAATGGGATTGGAAATCAGCGGGCCATCCAGCACAGTAGCCAAACAGAAAAGGCCACTCTGCAGACGCAGCCCCTCCCTGTGAACATCTGTATGAGCCACAGCTGCTCTGGAGGCGCTGCTGCTGTCCTTGGAAGGAGGGAACTGTAAGGTTTCCTTGTGTAGCCAAGCACAGCCCCAACCCTAGGAGAAAGCTAACTACAGTGAGGAATAGGCAGGGCTCACACAGGCACTAGGCTGGCTGCAGGAAAGCATCTGTCTGAGTGCCAGGGGTTTGCACTTTTATTATTAGGTGATTTTGTCTTTCTTACTCAAATCCTGAGGAGGAAGTTCCATTGATGCCTCTTACCCTGGAACTCTTAACTAGTGTAGTTCCACAGTGGGGTTCTGCACTGTCCCTGTTAAGCCCTTTGTGCAGTTAAGCAAACCCTGGTATCTTGCTGTGACCTTCAGCACACAATCTGTCATCAGTAAGTCTGTAGTCTTCCTTTCAGTCTCCAAGTGAGGCGACATGAAAGAACTAGGAAGAAAACCAAGACCCCACTTCCAGCCCACATGCTGAAATGCTCTTAAAACTCAGCTGCTGGCCAGAAACCTGCCTCAAACGACCCTGAGGCTGGCTCATCTTTCCTCTGCTGCAGAGAGATCCCTGCCTTGCTGAGTCAGATCGTTGTTCTCCACTGAGCCCTGGGGAGACAGCGTGACAGGATCCCACAGTCGGGGCTATCCCATGTTCTTGTCTGGGCTCATTAATTTGCACTGCAGCCTGTATGGCCAAGAACTCTCTTGCTTGTTGGGGGAGATGCCCCTCACTGGTCCCACGAAGGCCCGGGGCTGTGGAAGGTGGCTCTGGTAAGTCAAGACTGGTTCTTCATTTAATTCAGATGAAGACTGTTTCACAAGGTCATAAAGAAAGGAAGTGGTGGCATCACGGTCTTCCAGACTAAAGGAGGCAGATGAGGTTTTTCCCCTCTTCGATTTCTTCCTGGACTTTGTCACTGGAGGTTGCAATTTCTGCTTGTGCGGAGAAGACAGCACAGATGAAGGTGAGGACAGTGCCCCCGGTGGCAGTATAAAAGGCCCAGCCCAGGGAGCAGTCTCCGGGTTTGTAGGGAGATGCATATCGTCCACAGTCTATAGCTTTCTGGCAGCCCCAGCCAGCGGGGTAGAGGATCAGGCCAAGGAGGAGAAACAGACCTGTGGGACGGGAGAGGAAACAGGTGAAGCCCTTGGTGCCTCAGCAAGACAGCAAGACAGCAAGACAGCCTGCAGCACCTGCTCTGGCTTTGGGGAGTACCGCCCACTCTGCAATAGAAAGTGTCTTCTTTTCGTATGTGTCACCTGAATAGCCAGTGTCACCTTACTAGGCACATTTTTAGGTATGGGGTTTAGATCCAAGGGAAGAGAACTTCCTAGAAATATTTCTGGCCAGTTTGTGTAGGTTGGAATGTTACATTCGTGACTCCACGAATGCATCTAGAATTGCAAGTGAGCTTGTTACTGTCTCTGCCTAAGAGGCTACTCACTGAGGCTAACCATGGCTTCATCAATAAAGCCTTACAGTCTGAAGACATGGCTCAGCAGGTAAGAACACCAGTTGCTCTTGCAGAGGACCTGGGCTTGCTTCTCAGCACCTGTGTGGTGGCTCACTACTGTCCTTACTGCCAGCTGCAGAGGACAGACACCTCCCCTTACCTCCACAGATACCAGGCCTGCACATGTGCCAGATACACACATGCAAGCAAAACACCGTAATAACTACATAGACGAGAAAAGTTTGATCAGAATAGAGCGAGGCCCATTTTTTTTTGAGACTTCCTGTGATTGTTTTGGTGATGGACCAGCAGAGCTGAGTGGTTGCTTCAGAACTTGGGGCCTGAAAACACACAGTATCTGGCTTTTGACAGAGTTTGCCAATCACCAGTATAAAGTAATTCACCCAGAACCTTGTGGCCTTAGCCTAGGTATTGACAAAAGCCAGGCGCCTTAACCTACACCCATGAAAAGTATTGTTTGAACTGCATGCCAAGAGGAGAGGTATATGTCCATGCTTCTTTAGAAACAAACTGCAAACGTCATGGAACTTTTCTGTCTGGATGACTTTTAGTGAACTCTGCCTTGCGTGGAGACCAATATGCGTGGGCCCCACTTGGCTAACACCCGATTCTGTCCCTCACTGCTGCATGTTCACAAGTCACTGTGTGTCAGCAACTGGAAGGTGGTTTCCTACAGCTTCTAACCTAGGTTATGACTAAAGAAACAAGTTTGGGTACAAGATTTTCAACTGTATGTAACATCTGTGCGCGGTGCGGGGGGCCTGGCCGGTGTCCACGGGCTTCGCCTGGCCACTCACCAGTACAAGCTGCTCATGAAGAAGGGGAGGAAAACGGGGATTCTTACCGATGCTAAAATTTATTAGCATCTTTCACTTGTGCTATAAAGGAAGGTGGGCTTCATTCTATGCCCAGGACCGAGCTCTCGTGTCGTCAGTAAGAAGTCGGCCCCACGGAGAGAGGCCTTTGAAAGTGAAAGGCAGACGTGGGCATGGCACTGCTCTGCTGTGTATGGAAGCAGGGGACCAGCAGTCTCCTGCAGAGTCTGGGTAGGACTCCAGAGCTCACAAGGGGATACACAAAAGCTTTTGTAGATAGCCCAGGCCCATGACAGCACAAGGTGAGGACACAAACCAGCAGACAAATCACCCGTTTAGGAGCCTGACTTTGGAGTCAGGTAAGGTTGGAACCAAGAGTGCACTGATCCCAAACCCAGAGGATGGGTGGATTTGAAAGTCTGTGAACAGTATCTTTTTAATAAAACAAGGCTATCACCTCTTAAGCCAAACCAAAAGAATAAAATAACAGTTGTCAGTGAAATTGAAGTATTACTAGGAGATTGGAAAATCTAGAGGAATTAAACAAATAGATCTCTAATAAGCAATGAGACTAATAGTCTCCCAACAGAAGCAGGCTGCCAATGGACAGCTGCCCTGGTGAATTCTACAAGGTGTTTAAAGATGAACTAACACCATGCTCTTCAAACTATTCCATAAGCTACAAAGGGAGAAACTACTACCAATTTCAGTTCTAAGAGCCAGGATCACCCTGAAACCAAAATCAGAGAAGAATAAGCACATAAATGAAAATCACAGATCCAAGTCATCCATGGCCATCTTGGTTTAGTTCCAGGGCTGCAAGGATAGTTCAACAAACATATATTATATAAATAAAGTATAGGGACAAAAAGCTACACCACCTCAGCTGATACAGAAAAGACCTTTGACAAACTTTAACACCATTCATGCTAAACTTCTTCAAACAACACACTTAAGTATATATGACAAACTTCTAGCAAGCATATTAAATGGGAAATTTTCCATTTAAAGTTAGGGGATAGAGACGAAGTCTATTATAATTTTATTCAACATTGTGCTTTAAGTCTTAAAGCAATACGGCAATAAAAAGAAACAAAGGGGGTACAAACAGAAAAGAGAATTACACTTGTCCCTGTTTGGAGACATGATCCTGTATTAAAACCCTAAGCCCTCTACCAAAAACCTCTCAGAACTGATAAATCCTTGAATGCCATCTAGACTGCAATGGCTTTCTTCATACACAGAGAAAGTTGTAAAATTCAAATGAATACAAAAATGACCCAACTAGCTGAAACCCAGAAGAGCGTGGGAGGCATCACAGCGCCCAGATGAACAAAGACCCGAGTAGACGACTCAGCAGCTACACTGCTATACTGCAGCTACAAGATTTCCAACAAAGGTGTCAAACACACACAGGAGAAAAGATGTTCTCTTCAACAGGTTGTGTGGAAACGACACCCGCACATGAAAGACTGAAAGCACGTGTCTCTCACCTCGCCCTGTACAAAAGTTACCTCATAGTGGATCAGACTTCAACGTAAGACCTGAACCCAGAAGGGGAAAAATACTTCAAGATATACGCACAACCAAAGACTTTTCTGAGAACTCAAAAAGCAAGAATTGATAGTATTATTTGCAATTAAAAAGCTTTTGGACATCAAATGAAAACCTGCAGATGAGAGAAAAATTCTGCCTATTCTTCACTGGACAGGATTAATCCCACACAATAAATAAACTAAGGAACTCAAAAGATTAAATACCAAATAATGTAATCAATAAGTACTCAAAAAGGGGGTCTGGAGAGACAGCTTGGGAGTTGAGGTGCTTGCTGCTTAGGCATGAAGAGCCAAGTCTGTATCTCAGCACCCATGTAAAAACCAGGGCCGCTGCTGTACCCTGTACACCAGCATCTTGGGGGGTGCAGGCAGGAGGCGCTTGCTGGATGCCAGCCTCGCTCCAGGTTCAGGGGGAACCCCTGAGCCAAAGCGTGATGGAGCAGGACACACAATGTCCTCAGGCCTTTGCACGCACCTGCCCATGTGCACCTTCGCCACATACAAAGCAGATAAGGCACAGAGGCCAGCATTCCAAACACCAGGGATGTGCCAGTCAAAGCTGCTTTGAGACTCTCTCAGTTCAGTCACAAGGCGATAGGAAAACAATAAACACTGGTTAGGACTGCGGGGAGGGGAAGATTCTTGGCAGGAATGTAAAGTACTGCAGATACCAAATCAGTATGCAGGTTTCACAAAAGAACTGAAAACAGAACAACACACTGTTCTAATCAGCATACAGCAGACACCGGTGCTTCCATGTTTACAATGACACTATTCACTGTAGCCAGGCTAGATGCCATCACATGAATGGATAAGAAAAGTGATGTGTATATAAGGAAGAATGAAATGTGTCATTTTTTGCAAATGACTTGAGCTGAAGATCATATAAAGTGAAATTAAGCCAGATTCAGAAGTACAAATATCCGATTTTTTTTCCCCACAATGAATCTAGACTAAAATTGGACATATCCGCACATGACATGAAAGTAGAAGGTGGGGACCATTTGGGAGAAGGAAGCAGGAGACATGGTGTCACTGTGGAGGTGAAGGTAGGTGTTTCTATGAGATCCAAGCCAGCCAGGGCTCCCTAACGGAGTGAAGGTGGACAAGGTGGTGTGGGGAATGTCTAAAGTATAATGCTCGTGTGAAATGTTACAGTGAAGCCCACTGTTTATGAAAATAATGTCCATATAACCGGAACACAAACAGCTGGAAGCCAGGGTAAAGTTATCAGCACAGCTCTCCGAATACAGACAGGTGGCTGGAGGTGGCGCCACCGCCTCTCATAAAGGGCCACCTCCAGAAGTTCTAATAATGTGAGCAGAAGAGATAATAGGCTAGAGGCTAGAACTTAGGCCTTTCAAAGGTCTAAGACATACCTGAATAGAGCTTTGCTTGGCAAGGAGAGTAAAAATGATTCACCTAGTTCTTAAATACCTCTAAGAAACCCAGCTATTCCTGTAGAAACTCACCAAGTTCTTTTTGAAGCCTCCCACGAGGCACCTAGGAGATCGTGATAGTTTCCTTCCAGGTCCTAAGTGGCTTCCTCAAGAGGCCACACAGCACTGCTAATTTTTTGATGGTCCACCTGCTGACAGGCTCACATGCAGGCCCTATAACAAAGGCGCTGCTCTCCCCTTAGGAGACGGAAGCGTTCCAATTCAACATCAATTGCACATTTCACTTGGCACCCTGTTCTAGGCTCAGACTCACTGGAAAGCACACAAAAGTAGCAATGCAGCTGAGAGATCCTGTTTTCCTTAATAGCATCAAAGCCCTAGCCAGGAACCCTGTCTTTCCATTCCTTAGTGCAGGCGTGGTTCCTTGTGTTGCAGACCACTTGAAAGTCTTATGGTTGCTACTGACAATTTATGGATAAAGATGGCAGACAGCCCTATCACAGAATGGAGTCAAGGCTTGAATCTATGAAAGCCTCAGCTAGAATATAGGATCAGAAAAAAGTCTATCTGGGAGAGTGATAAGAAGTGGGCTGTGGTATAGCCACCCAAAGGATTCAAAATCTGTAGAAGCTAGTGTGCCTGCTTCCCTGAGCCTGGCCAGTTGACAGACGCTTGGTACCTGGCTGGGTTGTGGTGAGACCAGAGTTGGGCTTCTCAGCATGCCAGTGGAAGGGACCTTCTTGTCCACTCTGCCCTGGCACTCAGCAGAGCCATCGTCAACATGGCCAATGCCATGAGAATGCAACATCTGGGTCAGCTTGAGGGACTATGATCTGTCCTCCCGCCCTCCTTCCTCCTCTTTCTTTTCCC